ATTTCTTTATATCTCCATCTTTGGGTGTGTTATTTTGTTTTCTTGTTTTATTTTATTATTTATTATTATTCCTTTCTCTTCTTTTTCTTCTGATATTATTCTATTGATTTCTTTATTTTCTTCTATTATATTGTTTGTTCTTATATTATTTATTATTCTTATTTTTATCTTATCTTTTTCTTTTTTAATATTTCCATATGTTATTTCTGTATTTTCTATGATAATGATTGGTGTTTCTATGTTATATTCTTCTGAATGTATTCTTTCAATTATATGATATTTCCGTATGATTTGTACATTGTTTAATCTTCCTAGTTTTGTTGAATTTTCTATTCTTCTTTCATTTCCTTGACTTGTTCCATTAGGAATACAAATGATTGTTCTTTCATTTTCTCCTTTCTTTTCTACTTCTTTCTTAATATTATTGAATATCATTGATAATTTACTCTCTGGTTTAATCATCATTTCTACTCCTTTAATATTTTCTTTTCTAATTTTCACATTCTTCTCATCATTTCCAATGACTTCTTCAATTATTTTCTTTTCTTCTTCTTTTATATAGTTCATTCTATCAACTCTTTCATATCCATTTCCATCATACAAATACACATTCATTTCATCATATTCAATATCAATTATCATTGTTATTGTTTTACGTTTCATCTTTGATTTATTTTTAAGTTCATTTAATTTTGATTTTTATAACATTTTAATATTTTTGTTATTTAAAAATTGATTTTGAAATAAATAATATAATAATTTATCATCATTGAATATTTCATTCTTCTTATTCTTCATAAAATGTCAATCACAAAATACCATTTCAACAAATAAATGAAAATGAAGAAATAACGATAAAATGTATAATAAGAATATGAATAAATAAATATAAATAGAAAGAAATGATAATATAAAATAAGAAGTATTTTAAATGAAATTAAAAAGGGTAAAATATTAAATGAAAGAAGAAATAAAGATAATAATTAAAACAAAAATGAATATAATAAACAAAAATAATAAATAATAAGAAAATACTAAAAGAAATGAATAATTTGAAATAATTTAATAAATAAAATTGATTATGAAATATAAAATAAAAAGGAGTTAATTAAGTATTAATAGAAATATCTTCTATTGTTCCTTGCTCAGGGGAGATTAACTAATCCCATCCCTTCGCTTAAAAGTATTTGTTCTTCAACTATTGCCTTATTCTTTGCTTTTAGTTGTTGAACTGTGACAATTTTCTTTTCTCATTTTTGATGTAGAATAGAGTATTTTAGACATCCCTTATTTAAATATTCATTATTAAATTTCTTTTTAATTTCGATGGGTTTAAATTTCTTCTTCTTTATTTTCTTATTTTAAGGAGAATATATAATTACTACTGTATTACTATGAGTTAATATTCTTTTTGAATCAACCACTAGACCATTTTTTGATAATCTTATATTATCAAATATACTTGTATCATAATAAGTAATAATAACATCTTTATAAATACCCATTCTTTTATTATCAATGATATCCTGTCATTGTACATAATAAACACTGCTATTCTTACAATATTGATTAAGATGTTTTTCTAACCAACTGCAACATCATAACCAGTCCATAACTGGTGGGAATCGAAGGAAGGAAATATTTTAGTGTTCTGTATAGTGTCTTTGACGTGCTACCTTCGAATCGATAAATTAAATTAAAATAAAATAATAGAAATTAACGTACAAAATAAAAGTGATATCAATAATAATGATAATAAATCGAATAACTAATAAAGAATTAGTAAGAATAATTAATGAACAATGTATTATAAAACACTATGAAATAAAAGTAAAATAGATTTAATAAATATGAGTATGAAATGTTTAATATTAAATAAAATAATTGAGTGAGATATATGATATAAAAGTACTTCATGAACAATACATTCAATAGAATGAAATAATTTCAAATAAATAAAATAGAAAAGTCAATATCAACTGAAAATTGATTTAGTAATTGTTAGTTTTTGAAATGGAAATGAAAGATTTTATAAAAAATAAAAAGACTTCAATTACTGAAACTAAAAGAACCAGATGAAGAACTGTCATTAATAAAAGAAAGAACAGTTTCTTGGATAAGGAAGAATAATGAAATCATAAACAATATCAAAGTGACAAAAAATATTATCATTACAACAAATGGAGTTGATGTAATAATATCTATATAATAAATCATATTAATCTTTTATTTTACAATAAAATAAACAAACTTGTAAATGGTGTTTTAGGTTTAATAGAGAATAATGTAAATCCATTAAAGCGATATAAAGACATAAATATAAATAAACATGGAAGAGTAAAAGCAAGGAAAAATGCAATGATTCCAGCAAAATCAAAAATAATTTCTAATGAATCAATAAAACAAGTCAAAATAAAAGGAGGGAATATTGCTATAGCACGAGAAATATATTTACATTTCTTTGGATGATTAAGAACATATCTATATGGGAATAAATTTTCAATATTCATTGCTAATGTATTTGATAAAATAGGAAATGAACTTGTTAAATTAAAAACAGGGAAAAAAAGGATGAGATATTTAATAATATATGCAAACCATAATTCTTTCCCTTCTCCCCATCCTCCATTTCTTCCAGTATATGTTGACCAATTTAATGTTACAGGTGTTAATATTTTACCATTAAAAGTATATGAACAAATAACAGCAATTAATGCATAAAAAATTGATGCAATTGATAAAGCAGATATAATAGGTAAATTAACTTTTCTTTTTTCTCCTTTAACTGGTGAAATAATACTTGGTATTGTATGTTGAACAACAAAAGCAAAAGCTGTATGTGTAAATACAGTTCCAAATCCATTCCAATAAAAATCAAATACATTTCTTTCATCAGCTAATGGACCATCAACAGTTACTTGTATTATACAAGTAATTATCATTACTGTAAATGAACCAAAACGTACAATAGTTAATATTATGTGAACAATTGCTTGTTTTCCTACATCAAGAAAACTTAATGGAATCACAAATAATCCATAAATGATTAATGATCCATAATATGTTAATTGACATTCCCATGAATCTAAAAAGTGATTCTTTGCATGACAATAATCTTGGTTTCCAATAATAATCCAAACTATTGTTGTAAATGTTTTAATACATGTTGCAACATATGCCCATAAACCTGCATAACAATTAAGTACTAATGACAAATTAGCAAAATATTTTAATGGATAACTTCCTAATCTATATCCCATTTCAGTATATCCATAAGTCTCTTTAATAAAACATTTATTTTCTTCAATGATTTGTGGATTATCATTGAAAGACTTTGGTAAAATATTTAATCTACTTAATGCTTCAAGAACATATCCTGAAGTGATATTATTAACAATTAAAAATAGAATTAAAATCATTAGACTTGGATAAACTCCTGCTTCATAATAAGCAAAAGGTAATCCAAATATTCCTGTTCCAATAGCTGAATTGATAATTAATGGAAATACAGAGAAAGTTGTTATTGTTTTTATTTTCTTATTACCTTCAGTTAATACTTCTTTTTCAGTGTTTTCGTTTTCAATAGGTTGTAATAAGGGTTGGTCGTTCATGAAGTATGTAACCAATCTATTTTAGAGTTTTTATAGAACTAAACCTAAACAAACTTTATTCCCCCACCCCAAAAGTTGTAAACATAGAATCTTCTTCCATTGTTTTTATTTTGTTGTATTTTAACCCTTTAAATTATTAACCCTCAATAAATTAGTTATTTAATTACATTTAGATGTTATTTTCATTAAACATAACTTAATAAACGTAGTATTTCTGTTGTTTGTTTCAAGTACAAAAACAAACTAAGCACTAGTTATAACATAAATTAAACATTAACAATGAGAAACAAATATCTATTTTTAATTTATGGAAATAAGTCAAACAAAAATTAACTCCAAGTATTGAATGAAAAATAAATACAGTTTAAAATCACTAATAATATTTGGTTAAATGTAATAAATAATAGATAAGAATATATATTCAAACAATAAAATAATTTAATTCAATTAATTTAAGAAATTAACTAAGTCATTTGTAGATGAAGAGATTATACTTTTAATTAATTCTTTTAATGAATCAAATGTTGAATAACTATGTTTTATTATTGTGAAATATAAGTCAACATATTCATTAGGAAATATACCTTTTTCAATATCTTTAAACAATGGGAGAATCGAATGAATTATTTTAGAATGAACAACTTCAGTTTGATTATTCAAAACACATGAATAAAAAGCTTCAAGTATAGTCATTTTATCAATGATAATGTTCTTTTCAAAATTATCACATAAATAATCAACGCAAAATCCAATAAGATTTGGATTACTTATAATAATTGCTTTAAGACATTTAAGAACCAAACTATAATCTTCATTTTCACATTGTTTCAATAATCTCCCAACATTTTCTAATGTATTTAAACTAATACGTGTGTCCATTCTTGTTTCTAATAATGCATTTTTTAATTGACAAATAACATACATATCAATAGCATCATTATTTGATTCTTCAAGTATAGTTTGTAATATTTGAACAAATGTACCTTCTTCTTGGTTAATATCATATGAAATATTATCTCCCCATAACCGTTTAGTGTAGTTAATTGTTTGTTCATTCATTTGAGTTGTAATAAGTAAACCAAGATATTCATTTTCTTTTCTTAATACATTATTCTCTTCTTCTATAATTTCTATTCTTTGTTTGAGTTCATTCATTTCTTTTCTCATATTTTTGAACTCTTGAATAATTCTATCATTAGAAACTACTTCTTCCATATAAAATAATTAGTTCTTTTTTTTTCTTTATCAAAAACCAAAAAAATGAAAATTATCTTACAATAAAAAAATAAACTGAAAGTACATACAAAGAATTGATAAATTACTTAAACAAATATATAGTTTATTCATTTCCTTTAAAAATAACATATCACTCATTCAAAAATCTGAAGAAATTATCAATTATTATTTTTTAAATTATCTTTAAATAACTTCAATAATATACATTTTTATATAGTTATCTCTTGTTTCATTGAATATTTTGGTTTCTTTCCTCTAATAAAATATAGTTATTTGTAATGGTTATTTATTCAATCACTCCTTTATCTTTAGTTATGCTCTATATTTTATTAGTTACTTTTCCATGTTATATCACTATATAACTCTTCATTTTCTAATCTACTTATAACTAAAATTATCAATGACCACCTCTAGAATCAGTTACCTATTTTATTCAAATAGCTATTTTAAATGTGTTCTATTATTTAACTTGTTCATAACTATTTTTTGTTATATTAAAGTGAATGATATTATTTATTGAATTAAAATGATATAATTAGTTGTACATTGAAATAGAAAATAGTAAGTAATAAAAATGTATTTATATAATTATTTAAGTAATTTATTTTTTAAGTTTTATTTTTAGACTAGATGGTATTTTCTAGTCCAATTCATCTGTTTATTATATGAACTTATTAGCACTTTCAATTATTAATAAATGACTGAAAAAGTCAGTATATCAGCTCTTCAAAAAAGATTTGTTGGTTTAACTCAACAATTTCATGATATTATTGTCCTAACAATATCAGAACCAAAGGTTCCAATTACTGAATCAACTAACAATATAGCACCTTCTCATCATTTACCGTCTCCTTTAATATTATTTTTAATATACTTTATATTAATAACAGCAGTTTTAGTTTTAATTGATTTATATTTGATTTATTCTTTTTATTAAGAAGAAAAAAAAGAAAAAGAAGAATAATAGAATGGAAAATTTAATTAGTTGAAATAACAACTCTTTTAGAAAACACCTCTAAATGAAGCATAAGCCATTGCTGGAATATTTGGATGTTGAGAAGCTTCAAAAGTAAGAGGTTCTAATTTACAGACAACATTAGATTCTTTGTTCTCTGTAATGACATGAATATATGCTCCTTTATTATTCATTTGATCACAGTAATTAGGTGCACTAAATACAGTAATTAAACGACCTTCAGCTCCCCATTCATATCCATTCATCTTCATTTCATGACTTCTAACTATATATTGAAGATTATTTCCATCAAGGAAATTATGTGTTATATCAGGTCCAAATGATTTACCACAACCACGAATACTAGGAGATGATCCATTTGAAGTTTGTGGATCAGCCCAAAGAAGAGCAGATGCAATAGAACCTTCTTGTGGATCACAACCTCTTTTAATCTTTTTAATATCATCTAATGAAATGTACATTGGTGGAATACCACCATGAACAACAAATACTTTAGAATCAATGACATGACAATAAGGAAGTTGCATAAAAACATCAGAAAATGCAAGATAAACATTTTCATTATATTTAGTTTTTACTTCTCCTTCAAATCCATACATTGAATTCATTGCACGAGTTTCATGATTTCCACGTGCAAGAAAAACTGAATTTGGATAAATAATCATAAATGAAAATAATGTTAAAACACATTCTACTCCAAAACTTCCTCTATCTACAAAATCACCATTAAAAAGATAAACATTATCTTCAGATGGTAATCCATTTATTTCAAATAAATGAATTAAATCAAAAAATTGTCCATGAACATCTCCTACAATTGTCATTTTTTTTCCTTGTGTATTAATTTCTTCTAATACATTTCTCTTCTTTAAAATTTCATTTGCTTCTTCAATAATTCTAAGACAATATTTTAAATGAATTCCACATTTTCCATATTGACAATTTGATTTCATAGTTTCATAAATTTCTTGAACAATTTCTTTTGTAATTGGTTTATCATCTTCAATTTTTAATATTGATGTTGATGCATCAATATCTCTCCATGATATAGTTTGTTTTTCTTCTTCTACTGAAATAGCTTCAAAAAATAATTGTTCTCTTCTTTTTTCTTTTAATCCTTTTAACATTGAATTAATCATATTATCTTTAGGTGCTAATTTTTTTGCTTTCTCACATGCTGAAATAGCTTCTTGTAATTGTCCTAATGCTGCAAATGCAGATGCTTGTCTATAATATCCTTTAACAAAATTTGGATCAATTTCAACACATCTTTCTGCATCTGAAATAGCTGCTTTATAACATTCTAATTTAATATAACAAATAGAACGATTTGAATAATGAACAGCTTGTTCTGGTTCTTCTAAAATAGCCCTATTATACATTTGAAGTGCTCTTGTAAAATCTCCTTGTTTAAAATATTGACCACCTTGTTCTCTATATGATGACATGTTAAATTAATAAAAGGATTTTACCCTTTTCAAGTTTTTTTCTTCTTATTTTCTTTTTGTTTTTTTTTTTTCTTTCTTTTTACTTTCTTTTATTTTTTATTTAATGAAGAACATATATCTATTGTTGTAGTTATTAAATCTCTACATAACAACCTAATACACATCTCTTCATATAATAAATCATTCAACTCTATTAACCTTTTTATAAATATAAAATTTTGAAAAATAAAAAGATAAAAAATGGTAATTCCAACCAAAATAAAATACACAAATGAAAACTTTTTATGTAACAAACCAAACAATTAAAAACCAATCGAAAGTTATAATAAAAAAAATATATATATTCTTCAAATAACCTTCTGATATTGATTGTAATTAAAAAAAAAGATAATAGAAAAAATAATGAGTATTAGATTTGTCTAAAAGAATAATTTATTTAAATAATAAGTACAACATTATATTATAATAATAAAGAAAAAAAAAAAAGATTCAAAAGAATCATAAGAAGTTTATTATCAAATTATTTACCAAATAATACTCAAAATTATTAAAAAAAAAAATAAGAAACATAGATAGAGAAGAGAAAAGAAAAAATATGAACTAAAAATTGAACTTTAATGGAATATACTAAAAGTATTTTTACTTTATATGACAGCAGAACCATCTCATATTCAAAGAATTCAAGGTAGAGTTCAACATTATGATTGGGGAAGAGATAAACCATGTTTAGTATCATCATTAAGTGAATTAGAAAATGGACCATATGCAGAAATATGGTATGGAAGTCATAGTAGATTACCATCATTTTTATTTGGAACAAATGAACCAATTAATATTAAATTACCATTTCTTTTAAAATTTCTTTCAATTAAAAATCCATTATCACTTCAAATTCATCCAGATGCTTCTACAGCAGAAATTTTATTTAAAAAAGATCCTATTCATTATGTTGATGCTAATGCTAAACCAGAAATATGTATTCCTTTAAGTCAATTTCATTGTTTCTTAGGATTTGTTGATGAAGAATTATTACGCTTTCAAATGAAAAATAATCCACCATTAGTAAAAGTATTAAATTATCAAGAAGGAGAAGAAGCTCGTTCTTTATTAATAAGAGCACATTTATTAGAAAAAAATAAAGTAATTAATTATATAAATGAAATGAATAAATATATTAATTCATTAATTCAAAATAAAAAAACATTATCAAAACATCAAATATTATTTAATAAATTAGTTTATAAATTTAAAAATGATGTTGGACTTATTGTTTGTTTTCTTCTTAGATATGAAATATTTGAACCTTATCATGCATTTTTTATTCCTCCAAATTATCCTCATGGATATATTGAAGGAGAATGTGTTGAAGCAATGATTTCAAGTGATAATGTTATTCGATTTGGACTTACTCATAAATTTTGTGATATTGAAGCTTTACAATTTATTCCTCATGAAACTTGTAATAGAATTAGTGAAGTAGATAAAGAAATATTAACAATACGTTCAGATAATTATCAAGCTGCTCAATCAATTAGATATATAAATCCTCATCAATATTTAAACAGTTTTATAGTTACTGTTTATCATATTAATAAAGGTTTTACTATTGATGTATCAATTTTAAGTACCTCTTTATTTGTATTATATAAAGGAGAAGTAAGAATTGAAAATTCTATCTACCAAATTGGTGCTGCTTTCTTAATTAAAGATAGAAATATTTTAACTGTTAGTGCTCTTGATGATGTTTCACTTGTGTTACTTTCATAATTTCATTGTTACTTCTATTTATTATTCTTATTTTTCTCTTAAATAAATTATTATTATTTTTAATAACATTTTTTTTTTATAAATTAATGTTTTTAGAAAATAAACTATTAATTATAACTTTTATTTTTATGACTGAAGAATTTATTAAACCAATTCATATTGCATATATTGGTGGTAAATATGTTTATATACCATTCAATGATGTTATAGAATCATTACAAGTTTCTTTAAGAAGTATTTCAAATGAAAAACCTTCAACAGGAACATATAATATTAGATCTGCACAATTACAAACAATATTTGATAATTTTTATTCAACAACACTTTCATCATATTCTCCAAATAATCAACTTTATTTTGCTTATCGTTTTTTGGCATTAGGAACAATTGAAGAAAAGAAAATAGGAACAATGGTAATAACAAAAATACTTGATGAAATTACAATTAATCATATTCCAGACTTTGAACGTATTTTTGATAATGATATTACAACATGGGAAATTTGTGATTCTTTTTCTTTGAGAGTACTTGGTCCTTTAATTAAAAAAAGTGATGAATTTGCAACAAAAATTTCACAATGGAAAGATTCTGGTAAAGTTTGGCGTATGAGAGCTTCTTGTGTTACTTTTGTATCTTTAGTTAAAGTTGGTGCAATGACAGATTTATCTTTTGATATTTGTGCTGCTTGTATTAAAAGTAGTGAACGATTTGTACAATTAGGTGTTGGATGTTTATTAAGAGAAATGTCATTAATGTATAGTGATAGAGTAGTTCAATTTATTACTGATAATTATCGTTATTTTAGTAGAGAAGGATTACGTTATTCTATTGATAAACTCAATTCAGTTACAAGAAAACAAATTTTAGTGTTAGGAAAAAATAGAAAATCAAAAAGTTCAAATTCACAATCAAAAGTTATTCAACCATCAACAAATACTAATCCTCTCATTGAATCTTCAATAAAAATTAATCAAATTCCTGTACAACCTATTCCTAATTATACATATCCTCAACCTGTTTATCTAGTAAAATATTATGATGGAATGTATGATGTTCCACTTAATGCACAAATACCAGATCAACAAATTAATACAACAACACCAACAACTTGTCAAGGAATTCAATCAAATCAATCACCAACAATATCTATTCAAAATACAGTATCACATCCATCTAATTAATTTTAATATAATTAAATTATTATTTTTGATATTATGAAATTATTGGTTGAATTATTAAAAGAAAAAGAAAAAAAAGATCTTAAAAAATTGAAATATGGACAATAACACTAAAACTGCTATTATTATTCATCCTGATCTTGGTATTGGAGGAGCTGAACGACTTGTTGTAGATCTTGCTCTTGCATTAGAACATGAAGATTATGACGTTAAATTTTATACATCACATCATGATAAAGAACATTGTTTTCCAGAGACAAAAGGAAGGTTTCAAGTATTTGTTCATGGAGATTTCCTTCCAATTACATTATTTGGATATTTTTATATTTTCTTTGCTACACTAAGAGCACTTTATTTATCAATAATTGTAGCATGGAAAACTAATGCAGACATTTATATTGTTGATCAAATTTCAATTGGAGTTCCAATATTAAAATTATTTAATAAAAAAGTATTATTTTATTGTCATCATCCAGACAAATGTCTTTGTAAGGAAGGAGGATTTATGAAGAAAATATATAGAATTCCATTTGACTGGTTAGAAGAAAAATCTATGGGACTAAGTGATTCAATTGTAGTAAATAGTTTATACACACAATCAGTTTATGAAAAAGCATTTCCAAGTCATTCAAGAACACCACAAGTCCTGTATCCAACTTATAATCCTATTTTAGAAGAATCTATGAATAGTGAAAGTCCATTTGAAGAAGAACCTAAAGAAGAATTTTGGTTTATTTCAATTAATAGATATGAAGGAAAAAAGAATCATAAAGTAGCACTTGAAGCATTAAGTTTATTAGAAGATGATTTAAAAAATAATGTTAGAATTATCATTGCTGGTGGTTATGATCTTAGAGTAAAAGAAAATAAAGATGTTTATAATGAATTAGAACAACTTTCACATCAATTGCATATTGAAAGTCATGTGTCTTTACTTAAAAACTTCTCAAATGAAGAACGTGAATATCTTTTTAAAAAAGCTACTGCTGTGTTATATACTCCTCCATTTGAACATTTTGGTATTGTTCCATTAGAAGCAATGATTAAAGGAGTACCAGTAATTGCATGTAATAATGGTGGTCCATTAGAAACAGTACAAAATGAATTAACAGGACTTCTTTGTGATGGAACTAAAGAAGGATTTGCAAAATGTATCTCTCGATTATGTCATGACAATAACTTAAGACAAAAGTTAAAGTCAAACGCTAAGAAAGCAACTAAAGAAAAGTTTGGGTTTGAGACATTTACAAAGAACGTATCAGAGGTTGTACATCAAGTCATATCAAATTAAATAAATTCTACTTCCACACATTTTTAAGTTATTTAATAAAATTTGTGTTATTTCAATCTTAAAAATTTTATAGAAAAAAAAAAGAAAAAAGTAAAAAAATAGTTTAAAGAACTAATAAAAGAGTTTTTGATAAAAACAATGGAGGGAAGAATTGACAATAATAAAAAAGAAAGATTTATATTAAGAGAGGTTCTCCATAAATCAAAGAAAGGAACAATCATTAACAAAGCTATTACAATGGTTAAAGAACATAAATATTCATTTTTTGTTATCAAAAGTTTGAATTACTAAATAAAAGAAAGAGTAAAAGAAAGACTAATTCATAGGAGTGCCAATATTACTTGACGACAAAGAAAAAATAAAAAAATTAGATGAAGAAAGAGATTTAGCTAAAACAGTAGAACATTCAAATTTTGTTAGATATTATGATGGATTTATTTGTTCAGTAGAAGATCAATATGAATATTGGGAAGTATTAGAATATTGTTCACAAAAAAGTGTTGACTTATATACTATTGCACACAAATCATTAACCGATGGAGAACGTTTCTTTTTTTTATGTGACTTATCTGTAGCAATGGAATATATGGTTCAAACATTACATAAACAACATTTTATGTTAAACCCACACAATTTAATATTAACAAAAGACACTTCATCTCCAATTCCAAAGTTAAAAGTAACAAATTATTTTGAAAATGTATTATATATCTCTCCTAAAGAAGTTTTTCTTCAAAATATGTTTTATTGTGCACCAGAATTATATTTAAATCAAATAAATGAAAATTCAGATATTTGGTCATTAGGAGTATTAATATTTGTATTATTTTGTAACCGCTTTCCATTTCCACCAAATAAAGTATTTGAAACATTATCACAACAAAAGAAAATTGATTTAAAAGGAATTGAAGATTTATCGTTAAAAGACCTTTTAAGTAGAATGCTAGTTTATAATCCTAAAGAAAGAATGCAATGGGACGATTTTTTTATTCACCCTTTTATTCAACGGTGTAGAGATTATAAAGTTGAAACATCAAAAGGAACTGGAGAAGATTATGTTCCTAAAAAAATTATTGGTAAAGGTGCATTTGGTGTAGTATTTCTTGCTGAACATCAGATAGAAGGAAATATATATAAAGTAGCATTAAAGGAAGTACCAGAATCAAAAAAAGATTCATTATTAAGAGAAGCACGAGTAATGAAATTATGTATTCATCCTAATGTGGTTGAGTTTCATGATTATTTTGAATGTGAAAATAAATTATCAGAAAAGTGTACAGAGAATTCAGACATTCCATTACAACAATTAGAACAAATAATAACATCACCTAGTTCTCATTATTTTTATTTAGTTATGGAATATTGTGACCAAGGAACATTAGAGAAATATCTTGAAAAAAATGGAGGACCTTTAAGTACACCAGAAATACTTCATTTTTTAGCAGAAATAGCAAGTGGATTATGGTATTTACATTTTTGTAAACATATTATTCATAGAGACCTTAAATTAGAAAATTTCCTTTTATGTACACCTCCTAAAACAATGAAATATCCTCGTTTAAAAATTGCTGATTATGGATTATCTCGTGCTTTTGGTGATGATAGTACATTAATGCAAACTAATGTTGGTACATTTATTTATTTATCTCCTGAGATTAAATATCATAAAGTTTATACTACTAAAAGTGATTTGTATAGTCTTGGTGTTGTTTTATATAGACTAGCAACTAATGAATATCCATTTAGTACAAATAAAGCAACTATTGATTATGCTTTCCAAACTAAACAACCTCTAAGTTTTCCTTCTTATGTTAAAGTTGAATTTCATCTTCAAGACCTTATCAAAAAATTAATCACTCATGATGAGGCTTCTCGTTTATCATGGAGAGAGTTTTTTGCTCATCAATTCGTTTATCGTGCAATGCAACATCATGCTGCACAAGCTTGTTTTGTTCCAACTGCTCATGACTTTGATTTATTAGAAAAACAACAAATTTATGAAATAGATTAATTAAGTTTTACTTCAATTTATTTCATCAAACATTTAAATTAAAAGAAAATGTAATTCAAGTAAATTTTATTATTTTAAATTATGTTATTTATTCAAGACTCTTTTTCAATGTAAGACTATTATTATTGAGCAATGTTCTTGATTCTTGTAAAGAAAATAAAACAAGAAATTAATAATAAGAATGGTAAAAGAAATCAATGAAGAGTGAATAAATAAAAAATAAAAGATAAAGAAAAGATGATATAAAACAAATATATTCAATCTAAAATAAAAGAAAACAATAAAGTTAATACAATTCATATAAAAATAAAACAATAATAAAATAATAATAATAATCAAAATAAAAACAAATAAAAGATATAAAAATGGAGAAATTAAAAATAACAGATGTCATCAATAAATTAAAAGAATCCAATAAAGAATAAGAAGGAGGGATAGGAGGTGATGTTGAATATTGTTTGTACTACAACCAAAGGCATAGTTGAACTAACTGATAATACCGATTTGTTGTTCTTAACAAAATAAAAAATAAAACAAATATCTTTACTAATTGTTTCTTGTTTTGTTTCTATTTTATGTTTTGTTTACTGTTTATTATTATATAATTTAATGTTTATTGTTGATTATATTTTATTTTTCTTATTTTCATGTTTATTTCTTATTTTGTGATGTTGTGTTTATTTAAATGAAAGAAAATAACACAATTAGATAAATAAGAAGAGAAATTATACTAGGACAAATGTTGTAGAATAGAGGAGAGTGTAATACAAAAGTACTTATTGTAGGTTTGTGGTTTAGGACATTCACTGGTGTTAATCATGATTTGTGTTTGTTAAATGAGAGTTGAGAAAGATAACTAATCTTTTGTTTATCATATCTATCATTTCTACTGATTCGTAATATCATTTCTATTTTTATTCATATTCCATTCATCACCAACTTCTATCTCCATTAACAATATTTAAATAGTTCACATCTTCTTTGTTTAAATCATAAACAATGATAAAATAAAATAAAAGAATAATAAATAAAATAAAAGATAATCAATATCAAAATGATAATCAATTTGATATTCTTTATTTGATTAATTATTATTTTCTTTATTTATTTCTTTTATACCTAATATCCTCTCTTATTTATTCATTACATTATTCAGTTCATTATCAAAATAAAACTCCAATTAAGAATTATTCGTTTAATAAAATGATTGAAAATGTTTTATTAATTTTGCAGTTTCACCATTTTCTCTAGATAAATCAATGTTAACATGCATTTCTTTTTTGATATCAGTCCCAATAACAGAACCACAAATATTCATCACCCCCTTTTCATTAATTTGCATTGTAAATTCAATTATTTGTTCTCTAGATTTTCCATTATGAGTTCGATCAATACAAAGAGTAGTGATGTATTCCATTTTATATGAATTAACACATTTACCAAATCCTTTATAAATATTAAATTTTATTGATGTTTGATTGAGTTTTGTTGTAGAATACCTTTTTGTAATTATATTTGTAGGAAGTTTTTCTCCATCTTTAATAAGTATTTTAAATGTTCCTCCTTTTACTTCTATTCCAATTGGTGTTGGAACAATATCATATACAACTTCATGACCAATAACAGTTTCTTGTTTTGAAAATGCTAAATATGCAGCTCCTTTTACAACAGCATTAAGTGGATTAAAACTTTCATCAGCAAATGTTTGTATATCAAATAACTTAGTAACCTCTTCTCTAATTCTTGGTATTTTACATATTCCACTATTTAGTATTACTAATTTAACATTTCTTTTTTTATATCCTTTTCTTTGAGTAACTTGTTTTATTTTATTAATAAATTCTTCATATATTCCTCTTTTGTAACATTCTTCTTCAAATTCTTTTCTTGTGATAGTAAAATCAGTACTAAATTCATAATCATCAGATAATAATAATAATTCTAAATCTAATTCAGTATCATTTTTATCACTTAATTCAATTTTAATTCTTTCTGATTCTTTCTTTAATCTAATTATTTTCTTGTTGAGTGTTATCTTTTCTTCTTGAGTCATTCCTTGTTTCTGTTCATAATATCCTGGAATACCTTCTTCTATTCTTTCTTTAATAATATCACTCATCACTTTATCAATGTCATTGAATCCTAAATTCTCATTTCCTCCGGATGAATCTACAATGATATTATCATTTACTATTTTACAACATGTTACATCTAGTGTTCTTCCAAAATCAATTACTACAATTTTATCTCCATTTTTTAATGAATTTGGATATTCTCTTTTATATTCAATAATAACTGCTATTAGTTCATTAGCAAGTTCAACATTCTTAATTCCTGCTAATTTACATGCCAATAATGTTGCCTCTCTTTGTCTATCATTGAATTCAGCTGGGACAGTAACAATAACATTTGATATTGGATGATTACCAAGTTTTTCTTGGGCAGTTTCATATAAATATTTTAATATCATTCCACTAATTTCTTCTGGTTCAAATTCTTCACTTTCTTGAGTCAATGGATTATAACATTCAATATAAGCACTTCCATTATCTCTGCCTTTTACTTCAAATGGATAATCTTCATAATCAACATCAATTTCATCTCTTCCTATTATTTTTTTACTATCATAAATAATACATTTATTATTAATGTCATATTTTGCAACATTTCCTACAACAGCAAATCCACTACTATTTAGTTGTGAAAGATTAACGCACGATGGTATTTGTTCTTTTCCTGTTTTGTCTTGAAGTATGATAGGTTCATTTCTAACAATGTCATAATAAGCAACTGAAGAATGTGTAAGTCCTAAATCAATTCCAATTGAAATTGAGAACTCTTCTTGTTGTGTCATTAAATGAATATTATAAGATTGTGTTGAATGTTATGACAAACAAAAACGAATATTAGAAATAAACACATTGATTTATATTTTTATTTCAATCACATTTTCCAAACATAGAATTAATAATTTATTTTTAGAATAACAAAAACACAAAAAATGAAAATGTTATAAAAATATAAAATAAAAATTGAATACAAATATTAACTATTAGAACTTATTAAATCATATGTTATGTCATTTCAATATTTTCTGACAATTCTGTTAACTTTGCATATCACTAATTGATGTAAATGAAAAGAGATAAAATTAAAATAAAGAAATGTTTTTGAAATTATACAATAATAAATACTCAATTATTTATTATTTAATAGAAATAAATTTAATCATTTTATTGATTGAAATATTAATTATATATTAATTCATAATGATGAAAAATTAATTAGCGGATAATTATAATTGTCAAATATAATAATATAATAAAGAATAAAATATCTTCATTATTAAAAGAATTATTAAAAATGATTAATAATATTCAAATACATTCATTATAACTAATACATCATATTATATTTAAAATAATAATAATAATAATAATAATAATAATAAAATTAATAAAAGTAAACTCAACAATAAAAAGAAGTTTGATAAGTTTGAATTGAATATAAATAGATAGTATCTATGAAAATAATAAATAAAGAGAAATTCAAAGATAATTCAACTATTCTTTTTACTCAATTAAATTTTACATTAATTTTTTACAAGGATAATTTTATAAGATCTTTGGTTTTATTTATGTAATAGGTCACGAAATTATGCATTTTATTCGTATTCATCATTATATTATTATTATAATGATTTGTGAACTTGTTAATTATTTCTTAATTGCTGTATAAATGTAATGAATGTCTTCATTGTTTGTTTAAAATATGGTGTTTATGTTTGATAGTTCATTGAAATGAATTATCATAATCCAAAATAATTCTTGTTAATTGATTAAAAGGTAAAAAATAGTAGAAAATACAATTAGATGTAAATATTTGTGATTAAATATGAGAATAACATATTTGTATATTATTAGTTATATCTTTCTACTTCGTTTTCTGTATTAAATGAATATATCTGTTGATGAAATTGAAATTGAAATAAAATAAATATAAAATGAAAATGATAAAAAGAAAGAATAAAGAAAATAATAAGAAATAAATATAATGATTAATGATAAAATTAATGAGTTATTATCATGAATGAAAGTTGAAGATGAACATTAAATTCATTATTATTATTTATAAATATTAATTTATAATACATATTAAATAGTCATTCTTTATTCTGTATTATTGTGTTGATGTTTAAATTATTCAATTTGTTATTATCATATCATCATTTCATTGATACTTCTTATTATTATCTTTTTATTTGTTTCATCACTTATCTCTTGTTTGATATGATAATATAAATAATTTACATTGTATATTATCATCATTCATTATTGATAATCATCTGTGATATAATTTAATGTTTATATCAATAAATATATCATTTAAATAAATAAATAATAACATCTATTAACATATCATTATGATATCTCATCAATATGATAAATGAAATATAACATAATTACTCATTAATAACAATAAGATTGATATTCATATTTATATAATCATTGTTATTCATAACTAACATTATAAATTTGAATTAACATAATGTTCTTCTTTATTATTTTTCATAATGATATTTTCACATTAAAATAGAATTGAAGGTAAAAGAAATGAAATAAAGAATAATATAAAAAGAACAGAATTATGAATGAATATAATCAACAAGTCAAGATACATCATACTCAATACAATAAGATATTACAAAATGTCAACTGATTGTTATAGATTTCATATTTTACCTACTTTTTATTTTATTTTATATTTTATAATTTTAAGAGAAAATAATAGAAAACAGAATAATCTAATATGCAAAAATATATTACACTATTTTCAATTGAACATTTTATTTAAATGCATAATTTCTTCGCTTATTTTGGTTCCCATTTGTTACTTTAAATATAACTGATCAATAAAACAAAACTATAAGAATTGAAATACAACGTATTTAAATTGGAAAGAAATGAACTATATTAGTCATAATTAATTATTATATTTTGCCCTCTTATTTATTTTAATAACTATTGTTTTCAATACATAGAATATATCAAATAATATTATCATTGTTTTTATAATACTTTTATTCTTGTAAAGAAAATAAAACAAGAAATTAATAATTAAGGGGATAAAAGAAGGAAGGGAAATAATAAAATAAATAATAAGAATGGTAAAAGAAATTAATGAAGAGTGAATAAATAAAAAATAAAAGATAAAGAAAAGATGATATAAAACAAATATATTCAATCTAAAATAAAAGAAAACAATAAAGCTAAATATAATTCATATAAAACTAAAACAATAATAAAATAATAATAATAATCAAAAAAAAAACAAATAAAAGATATAAAAATGGAGAACAATAAATAAAGAAAAAGAGATATAAAAAAGAAGAAATAGCATAGTAAATGAAATTGAATAATTAGCCAAATATTAATGATGATATTTTAATAAAAAAAAAAGTAAGAAATAAATGAATGAAATGAAAAAAAAGGATAAAGATAATCCAAATAGTAATTTCTATCAATGAGATAGTAAATGAAGAAAACATTTAATTAATAAAAGAATTAAATACGAAATCATCAAAGAAGTTAAAAATAAGTGAATTTCATAAAACATTATTTCTAACACACAGAATATACCCATTAGAATTAATTGTTAACAATAAAATGAATAACAAATAAAACAAGAATAATTAGACAAAAGTTAATAATTCTATTAATACTTAATTAACTCCTTTTTATTTTAAATAAGTTAAATTAAATCAATAAATGAAAAAAAAATCTAAATTTAAAATATTTTTTTTCTTATTCAAAATCATTCAATTCAATCATTTCTTTAAGGATCTAACAAATCGTAATTGTTCTTCAATATCCCCAACTTCTAAATTTTTTGGTGAGACAAAATGTTGTCTTTTTTGATCTCTTTTTGATTTTCCTTTAGGTTTATTTGGAGTGTCATGAATTTCTTTAAGTTGTAAACCAATTAAAAAGTCAGCTTTATTTGTTCCATGATACTTAGTAATTTGATACCTTTTTAAAAGGTCTTTTAATTCTTCTTTTAATTCAAAAATTTTCATTTTTTCAAGTTTTTCATTTCTTTGTCTTTCAACTCTTTCATCTTCAGTTTCATCATCACTTGATTGGTCATCGACATCTAAAGCTTTTTTAAGAGCTTTGTCATTACTAATTTTTTTATGTTGTTGATTAGTATTAGATATTTTACGAGCCAATGAAAGGATTTTCTTAGCAAAATTATAAGGTTTAGCATCAAGTTTTATCATTGGGAAATCTTTTTTCTTAAGAGTTTTTAATAAATGCTCATATGGTGTTTTATCTTCTTTCTCAACAAATACTATACATAATCCACTTCTTCCTGCACGTGCAGTTCTACCACTTCTATGAACATATAATTCAGATGTTCTTGGTAAGTCATAATGAATAACTGTTTTTACATCATCAATATCAATACCACGTGCAGAAACATCAGTAGTAAATAATGCAATATCATTTCCTTTTGTAAACTTTTCAATATTCCTTAACCGTTGACTCATTTCCATTCCACTATATAAACTACATACAGAACATCCAATCATTTGAAATAATGGAACAAGTCTTTTAATCATAGTAATTGCATTAACAAATACCAAAGTTTTTCCCGGTTTCATATAAGTAAGAATATAAAATAATGCTTCATCTCTTACAAGACTTGGTACAACTACTTTCTTTTCTTCCATTTGTTCTACTGTTTGTTGTGGAGTAGAAACATCAATTAATTCAGTATCATTCATTTTTAATTTTTGTAACATTCTAGTTAATTCATCTTCACCATTTGAAGAATATTTTTTAGCCATCATTTCACTTGCAAGAATCATTGTAGCAGAAAAAACAAATGTTTGTTTTTCTTTATTATTAAATACATCCAATAATTTTGTTAATTCAATAAAATGTCCTTTTTCTAATAACCTATCTGCTTCATCTAATACAATAAATGGAATTTCAGGTAATGTTTGAAGAACATTATGTTCAGTTTCAGAATATAATTCATATAATCTTCCGGGTGTACCAATAACAATTGTAGGTTCTTGTGAAAGAAGTCTTACTTGTTTTGGAATTGCCATTCCTCCCACAATAACTGAACTTGTAAATTGTGGAAGATATTTAATTAATTTTTTAAAATGTTCATTTATTTGTACCGCTAGTTCACGTGTTGGAACAATAATTACACATTGTGTAGAATCTATTTTATCTAATTCAATTAATCGTTGTACAATTGGAATTAAAAATGATAATGTTTTACCACTTCCAGTTGGTGCTGACCCAACAACATCTTTATGAAATTTTAATGCTTTTTTAATTGATAATTGTTGAATTTCAGTTGGATTAATAAATCCTAAATCATATAGAGCTCTAATTATTCTTAAATCTAATTTATATAATTTCATCCACTTTTTCATTTCAATCACTAATAAATTATCATCAATTTCTTCTTCTTCCATCTTTTTTTTTTCTTCTTTCTCTTCTTCTTCATTTTCTTCTTTAATACTCTCTTCTTCTTTTATTTCTTCCATTTTTTGGTATTCTTCTGACATAAAAAGGGTTTTCTTCTTTTTAAATTCTTTTTTTCTTTATTCATACTATAGTTTAATTATTATTTCTTTTTATTATTTTTTTCTATTTCTTCTTATCATATTTCTTTTTGTTTTATCTCTCGGTTTACTGTTACCAATTATTTTATTAATTCCTTATGTTCTTAAAACTAAAACAAAAGAACCGTATATTGAAGTATATAATTTTGAATACTCTCATTTATTTGTTATTCTCTTTCCTAAATTTTAAGTCACTTCTTTTTGAACCTTAACAACCAATAACCTAATTATTCTTATTCTTAAATAATTGCTGTATTTGACTCTTTTATCTTTTAAAAACTCTGATTGAAAAATACTTGAAAAA